ATTAAGAGCTTTTCAGGTGATATTTTGCCCATAAGTAGGACCTGATAAGGCCAGAAAAAACCTAAAAGGATAAAGGCCCACAGGCCTTTCTTTCCGAGTTACGACCATTTTACTGAATTTTTCACTTATGACAAGAGATTCATGGAAAAATCAAATTACAGAGTTTCGATCTGAAATTTTGCCCACATGTGGGTCTTATGACCCTTATCGTAACTTAAAAGTTTCATCCAAAACGAATGTTTTTTTCACAAAATACTGCGTACTCAAGAAAAGTCGATTTTCTTGATATGTGTGTAGCATAAGTGAGTTTTATTGAAAGCTAAATATTTCGTGAAAGAAACATTCGTTTTGGCTGAAACTTTTGAGTTACGATAAGGGTCATAAGACCCACACGTGGGCAAAATTTCAGATCGAAACTCTGTAATTTGATTTTTCCATGAATCTCTTGTCATAAGTGAAAAATTCAGTAAAATGATCGTAACTCGGAAAGAAAGGCCTATGGACCCTAATCCTTTTAGGTTTTATCTAGCCTTATCAGGTCCTACTTATAGGCAAAATATCACCTGAAAAGCTCTTAATCACTTCGGGTACCTCCCTCGTTAGTTCAAACCTTAAATGACACATTTTATGACCATTTATGCATCTTCAGTTTCATATTGTATGACAAATATATTTTGCACTCACTACCCTTTGAGAATGTTTTTTCTCATAAAATGAACATTTTTTTCTTTCTTGATAATGATAATGGCTAAAATATAAAATAAAGAAACCAGATGGTCTCCCAGGAGCAAAAAAAAACTCATTTAGTTGAAATGAACGTTGTGTTGGATGCATGGTTGAATTGTTATTTTTTTTTCTACTTTTTTTTTGATTCGTCAAAACTGAGAAATTTGTGAGTCTCACATAAAACAGTGTTATTCTCAACAAACAATTCACAACAGTCAGTAAGTCAAACAATTTCCATCTAATCACTTGTGAAAGTTTTTTTATTTCTCGACTAGATCAATGAAAGCCATTCGATATTTACTTCAAAAACTATCTCAGCTCAATCTATTTATTGAGCCAAATGAGAAGAACGAAAATAATCATCAAACATTACGCAATCAACTTCTGACAACACGGATCTATTTGATTCTCTTGATTACATCCATATTCATTCTTGTACTCTTTGGTTCTTTGAACAAAAAAAACGTCTCATTCAGAGTAGAAAACCCATCATTTGACATGTATAATCGTCTCGAAGCTGTCTATTCGGATACATTATCCTGTCCATGCAGAAGTAGAAATGTTGTGCAGTCCAGTTTTGTGTCCTTTCAAGCAGTATATCATCCGGTAAAAATTTTCATACTAGTTAAAAATGATGATAAACAGAAAAGAAAACTTCATTCATAATTGTAACACACTGAAATAAAAAGTTTTATCTTAATGAAGAAAAACAGCAGAACGCTGAATAGTTTCAAATACTATTAAGAAAAAGCTGTTAGCGTGATCCCTGTGAGATTAAAATGTAAAACACAATGTAGTTGTTGTTACTATTCACGAGACTATTGTGTTATTCGATCTATGTTTTGACTCATTTTTTCATCATCTTTTACTTAATCCTTTAGAACTGTAAGAAGGAAGCAGTTCATATATTCTCATGAGATGTTAGTGGTATATGATCTCTAATAGAGTATCAAAAATGTTTGTCATGTTCTCTAATGATCCCTAGAGGCTCTCTGTTATAGTCTATGATCACTCGGGAGTCTATCTGTCACAGTCTGTGAGGAAGGAGGGAGTGGATCCGAATTTCTACCTTACACACTTCAACGCTCCTTTTGGATAGTGTTTCACAACATAGATACATTTGTGTATTTCGATTAAGATGAACTCAAACGAACTGAAGTTATGATAGTTACAATTAAATAATTACTGTGAAACTATTTCCTCAAGACTCAATAATGCAATTCTAAAAGTAGTTTTTCAAGATCTATTCTGATTTTAATTCCAACAAGTGTAGATTCTAGAAGAAAATTAGAATACATTCACATTAAGAACAGTTTCGATAAGCGAAAACCTTGGAAAAACTTGAACTGCAACACTAACATTTCTTAAATAATGTCATTTGTTTAGACGAAACTAAGACAGTAAAACCTATGGATAGAGAATGATGTAGTTGTACGAAACTGATGTTGATACTAATAAAAAAATGTGAATACTCACATGAATTAATGTTTTTAGTCTTAGCCTTCTAATAATTTCTCTCTTTCAATATACAAGAAAATGCTAACAGAGAGTGATAGTTCTGTCATGATTTCACAAGTCATTCGAAGTTCATATACTGATCACACGTGATAATATAATCACATTAGGATTGATATCAATGAATACTAAGATTCACATATGTGTACTACAATTATAGTTAGTGAAATGCTAAACTATCAACTCTAATAAAATAAAATAATTTAATCTAGTTACACAGAAAATCAGAGAAATTCGAGAATTTACACGATTCGAAATATAATCATACTATAAAGTGAATGACTTGTTTTCTTTTCTGAATAGATATGTTCCAGTGAATTATTATCAGACAAATGGATTAGTTCATTGTACAACCCAGAAACAGCAAAGATGACTCCACTCGATTTTCGTCTAATTGCCACAGCTATCTTTCGACTATTTTCAATGCATTGTTCATTTACGAAGGCAACAGTGAACAATCTTCTAAGTTGGTTTCCTGCTAGTGCGCTATTTAACGCTAATGTTTTATCAAATGCATCATTCGATGTTCAAACAAAGGCTAGCATAGACACTTTCGGTAAAAACATGGCGGCCTTAAAGGCATCATCATTTATTGGTCAAATACTTCTGATTATGGTTCAACTAAGTGACACTTACTCGGCAGTACACACAAATGCATTTCAGATGAGTGTGCCAGGTTCGGATCAGTATCAAGTTGTAAAAAACTTTTATCCACGTCATGACAATGCTTCTTTTAGTCATGTAAGTCACTTATTGTGATCCTCCACGAACAAATAAAAGGATTCAAATAGTGAACCATTCAGACCAAAAACAAAAAGAGCAGAACATAACCAAGGTTTCCCTATATTAGAAGGGTGCTTTCTCTGTATATCGTGATGTTTAAGAAACAGTTCAAACGTTCTATTAGAAGACCATCCACTTATCAATTAATATTTTCCAAAAATATCGAGTTTTTAGAAAATTTAAATTAATATTTTTGAAAAATATTCAGTTTTTCTTGAGGCTTTAGGAGGAATTTATTTCGGCATTTTCATCAACAATATATTTCTAACTAAAGAGCGTATTTTTCAGCGGAGCAAATACTTTGAAAACATTATCTATAAATATCAATCAAATTAGTAAAAATATTGACTCTCCAAGAAAAGTCCATCAAAAAATGTGGCGATCTATCGAGACACTATGTAAAGGCATGTCCTTTTATTCTAGACGATGTTTAAGGTAGAAATGGAGATGTGATCCGGTGAATAGCTCGAATTCTTTGAGCTAGTTCTATGAATAACCATGTTTTTTGTCGATGAGTTAGTTAGTTAGGAAGACATGAAATAAGCATAAGTCTAAAATATTATCTTCTTAATCTTTAGTCTATGTAATATAGAAGCAGTACAATTTCTCGATTTTTATCGGTATAAACACAGTAATACTAACGGTATCGAGTCATTTTACTGAAGTTCTCATTTGTCTAATTGAGTTAAATTATCTATGAGACGACAATACTCAGCTAGGCTGATATTTTCACAATAAACTCATGGGATGACTAGTGAATTGCTTAGATGTACGATCGCTCATTTTAATATCATTACTGTCAATGCTTATCTTCTTTCCATAACTCGGTCGTTTAAAAGAGTAAGAGAGAATTAAACAAGAATAACCTATGATTTCGATAGTCTCTTGGAGAGATTTGTTATAGCGTGCTGATCCTCTCTCATTATATTGAAGTCGTAGTAAAACAAAAGACTAACACTGACAGGAAAGCCATTGTTTAGATGGCCATACATCTAAGAAATCCTCTATGGACTTCATGTGTTTTTTATCACAATATCAATATCGTTCAGTATTTTTCATCCCATAAATAATTTAGCTCAATAAGGCAAATAAGAAGTTTTGTAGACTGACGAAATGCCATTATCACTACTGCATTTATAACGATAAAAATCGACAAATCATGCCATTTTTCTATTCCATAGATCAGCGACTGATTAGTTGATATGATGGATTTATGCTTAGTTCGTGTCGATCTACTTACTGACAACAAATATAAATGCTCATAGTCCAGAAAAGAATGATGTTTAAAAGCGATATTTTTTCAACTGAAACCATTTGTGAGTTCGTAGATATTTGTAGTATCAGCTCGATGAGCTCGAACTACAGAAGGACGATTACTTTTTCATTTTGTAAATGTTTTTCAATGTTTGTATCTTTTACAAACGCTCCATGTATTGACAATAGATAAAAACATGCAAAAATTAAGCATGAGAACGAGCAGTCTTTCCATAGAATTAACACTGTTTTACCGATGATGATTTGCTGATCTATGGGTTCTGTTGAAATCTTGATCTAGTTGGCCTGAGTCGACTTGGATTTTCTCAATCGATTCCACTTCTAGCTTGAACTGATTTGATTTCTATTGAATTTTTTCCTCTTCATTATTGTTACATAAATATCTGAGATACTTCTCTGAAAATTCGTCTTTGACTATCGAGTTTGATAGTAGCATTGCAATCAGTGGTTTACCAACTGTTAAACTGAGCCAACAAATAACTTGAGGAGTATTCGTTATCGAAATCATAGCTTTGGGAGTTGATGTAGTTTGAGAATGATACACATACATGCTTTGCTTATGCTCCTATGAACTATTATAATCGAGAACATTTTTTTGATAGGATCCCTCGAAGAACTTTTTCTTTTGCAAGCCACTCACCACTGCAATATACAAAGCAGGTATTTATGATTGGGCTACCGAACGACGTCCTTACTTTCGAATGATGGATCCATATCCACCACCAGTCTATGTTATTCCTGGAATGAAAGTGGGATGTATGCCATATGATGCATTCCTTGGTAGTAACCTCGAATGTTTTTTTTCGGCTACATGTCTCAATAATACAGCCAGATGGATTTCAAGTCTACCTGCTAGTGATTGGCCTAAGCCATTAAATAGTTCAGCCATGTTGAATTTCTTACCAAATACTTCAACTCTGTCCATTGTTGATCAATTTTTAATCGATCATTGGAATATTATAAAGAATTTCTCTAGTTATTTCACTTTTTGTGCACCGACTGAATGTACTTATAAGGTGGAACAATACAATAGTTTCATCTATGCACTAACTTTACTCATTGGTTGTTGTGGAGGTCTCATTGTTGGTCTTCGTGTCGTAGCACCATTAATTGTCAAGTTTAGTCAACATATACATGGATGGTTTCTTCGAAAAACACAAATGAAGATTCATCCTACAGAAACACAACAAGGTATTACCAAAAAATGATTTCCTTTGTATTTATCAAGAATACTATTCATTAAATCATTCTTTTTAGATCCTGATAGCAAAACTACTCATGTAGTCACCATCTCATTGACCTCAACTATAGAACTTGAACACAGATTGAACGATGCTCATATTGTTACACCAGGTATTCTTATATGTTGCAATACACTAAGAGACCACCTTCTCTCCTAGGTTGGCGTAGTCGATTGATTCAAACATTGAAGAAAATCAAACAGAGTATTCTCACAATTAATCTCTTCAAGGTATGATGTCTAAGAACCACTTTGTAGGATGACAATGTCCGTTTTACAGAAATATATGCATATTTAGGATCTAGGTGTTCATTAAAAATCTAGTTTTCTTATGAAACAAGGTTGGAAATGAGTGTTGAAGTATATCATGAGAAAGTTGGATCCAAGATCCGTTCTCTCCTCTCCCACAAACTGTGACATATATATCGCATTCTATTATGGGTTTTCGAACTATGGAAGTCTGGCTTTTTTGAACCATTTAGTGTAGAATTTTCCAATCTTGGACTTTTGAACTTTTCGATTTCGAATTGATTTAAAATCCTGTAATTTGAAAAATTTACATTTCTCTCATAATGCGACTTATTAGTCTCTATGATAGACAATTGATGACTGTTAGAAATGATTCTTCCTTACCTTGCTGGCCAATCAAGTTAAATATGACAAGAATCTTCATGTTTCACATTTTAGTCCGATAAGGATTGCACTGACAGCTTGTTATAAACTGACTTCAACATAAAAAAATACATTTAATGGAATTCTCTTCAAACGGGCAAGGTGAAAGTTGTTGAATCTATCATTTTTTTGAATTGAAACATGTACAAGGAATATTCTTGAACTATTGGATATTATTTGAACTGAAACTTTAATCACATGCACTACATCTTGGGAATAACTAAGGGAACAAAAAAAGAGAGGATCATTTTTGAATTATCTCTTTTCCTTGAGGTTCAAGTCATTTATCACATTTTCGTATGCTTGTGTGAAAGATATTTGAAAACATTAAAATATCATACATCCAGGCTTCCCGATTAGGAAATGGAGGCGAGATAGGGCTCTTTTTCCTTGCCAAACGCTGTAAATTGTCTGACTTTTTACGAAAATTTCTAATACTGACGGACAAATTTTTGCAAGTCTCGCGATGAATTCTAGAAGAAACTCTATTTTTAAACACTATTTGCTATTGTTTTTGACAGAAAGTTAACTAGAATAGTTTCGATCAATAAAACTCACAGAAGAGCGATAAATTTAGCATTCTATATTCAGTACTTGTCGAAAAGTCAGATGAGGCACTATCTATCGAATTTTTATGCCGTACTATTGTTGAAAATTATTGGAAACCCTACATATGTTGATATGAAGTTCTGTACATGATGGAGTTTGCGACAAAATCAATGTGTTCTTCTTAAAATTTCCTGATTACACCAGTCGATCTTCAGACAAGTCTTTCAAAAAATGAACTCTTTCGATCTATCGACTAAAGACGTAGTCTATTATCAGTGAATTAATTGTATTTTCTCAGAAAGTACTCATTTCCAGTAATTTAGTTCAAAGTTGTAGGAAATGTACTATTCATCTTGTATGTATCGTGAAGTCTTGATGCTTGTTGAAGTTCTCTGTCTTGAATGACGATTTATGTTAGTAGAATGTTCTAACCAGACTCTGTCGTTGTTGTTCTGTTTTATATTTATTTATTTTTGGAAAAGAAATTAGATGGGAAATAGAATACAGTTTCCGATCAATGATACGGAAATTATGTTTTCATTTATAGTTACTTGCAAGGCATTTTTTATGAAACTCACATATACTTTCGAGGAAAATAGTAAATGTATATTTTAAGTCAAAATTTTGCGGCTCCTCTTTCGTTTTACGGACATTAACATGCCGTCCTCCAATCACAGACTTTAGAACTTCCTCCTTCTCAATTACAAACAATACTAGTCGAAGAAAAAGGAGCTACACGGAATTATCAACATGAGTTTGACTGTTCTAGAAAATTCTTCAGTCTTCATCAAAATTTGAATGGTTAGAATACGTTTGTCAATGCTTTAAATAGTGCAGTTTTTTTAGTTTTGCACAGATAAAAGTTTATATCCAAGATGTCAAGGATGACGAGTAACGATACATTGATTTGCCACAGGCATCATATAATCAACATAAAAACTATGAATTAATCAAGTTAGAATTATGGATAATAATCAATATCGTGTCAGTGAGTTGATCGAGATGTATAGTAATGCGTTAATAGCTACTACCGTAGATTTGATGGATATGTACAACAGACTTATTTGCCATTAAATTCTATTCTTAAAAAATAGAGGATGCAAAAAAAAATAAAAGGAAAATTTCTGTTCGAAATGCAGAAATAAAAACGACAAATCTTTACTTTGCTGATCGATGATATTGGAACAGAACTATAGTCTATGACAGATTTTTCACTTCATCTACTTTGTATTAATTTATTGAGGCTAAATATCATATGTAAGTTTCACATTTCAGCCCCAAAAGGATCGAGCTAACAAGCTTTTCCAAACTATGTTGACCTCAGTTAAAGTCATTTCTAGGACTATGCCTCACCTATGTATCATGGAAATGAAAATTTGATGTACTCATGATCTAAATGATTAAAGCTGTTAGCACAATCTCTGTCGGATTAAAATGTGAAACATGATGTAGCTGCTGTTACTAATTATTGAGAGATTGTTGTATTCCACATATCTCGGAACACATTCCTTTATCTTTCTTGTACTTAATCCACCAGAGATACAGTAAGGAAGTAGTTCAAATATTAGAATGAGACTTCATTGATATATGGTCTATAATCGCCAACCATCAACGTCTGCTACAATCTGTGATGGTCTCTAGAGAGTGTCTGTCACGGTCTATGATGGTTTGTGGACGGTACATATTACAATCTTTGCTGGTTTCTAAGGAGCATTTGCCACAGTCAGTAGGGAGGGAAGAGGATAGATCGAAATATGTGCCCCATATACTTCAATACTTCTTTTAGATAGTGTTTTACAAAAGTAAGACTGTTGAAATCTCAATATAATTTGTTTTTGTTTAAGGATGATTTGAGTGATCAAGTACTTGGTATTCATGCGACACGCATCTATGTGATTCTAGTGATAGTCGGTATTACGACACTCATGATCTACTCATCATCAACAATCAGTACACGTTCAGTGACAATATTAAATCCATCTTTGACAACTTTCGAAAGACTTCACAGCACTTATCCAACAACACTTATATGTCCATGTTCACAACAGACAGTAACTTACAAAAAAATACTCATCATTTCATCTCCACGATATCATCCGGTGAGAAATGACATATCGATTTTCGAGTTCATCATACATTTATTAAAAGTCAAAGCAATACTCTACAGGATACTAGATTTCAGTATTCGAAAGTATCATTTGAAACTTTTTTGTCTAAACTCAATCAAAGATTTCTTACTGAAACGAATTTTGTCTCAAATTGATCAGATTGAATTCCTAATCTAATATTTCTTACTTGTTTGTTTTCGAATTCTAAATTTGTACACTACATAAAAGATTTCTGCTCTATCCATTTTTTCATATGGAGACAATTGATATATTTTTAAAAGTATCCAAACGCAGTATAGCCTTATAATGTCTATCAGTGTGCGACTCGGGTCGAGTTAGACCCGGGACGAGATTATTGAAAACTAGTTGTTCTCAAGTCAGGTCGATTCACAGAAAATTAATCCATATCGGACACTGATATCTACTTAATAGAAGCATATAGTTAGGATTCTCTTTTCGTTTCATGTATAGAGTTAGTTATAATCGTGAGCGAACACTATAGCGTTTATCACAGTTGAATGAAACACTTAATAAATTCATGCTATACCTCATTTTGTACAACTCATGTTATTTTTAATATTAATCTTCTTGCAATCGTAACAGTAGACTGAAATATAAAGCACAAATGATATTCATCATGTCTAAAATTGTCTCATCACGTCATTTTCCAATCTTACAGAGATGGTGTTAACACTAATTGGATCATAATTGATGAAAATCAACATAACACAGAGATCAACTCATTCTACTTGTCACAATGACATTGCTATATCGTGAGACACGATTGAAAATGAGTATTGAAGCATGTAGCTAGTAAATTGGACCCTTCTTCCTCCGCAGCCTATGATAGACATGCCGCATCCTATGATGATTTTTGGGACCGTGAGATTTTGATTTTTTGACTTGTTTTGGTTTACGAGTTTTCAATTTTCGCAATTTAGACTTCTAGATTTTTTGATCCTGAATTGATTTGAAATTCTGAAGTTCGAAAAAACATTTTATCTTCCGTAATGCGGTATATTAGACCCTATTACAGACCGTTGTAGACACTTAGAGTTGATTCTCTAGTGACTTCATAACCCATCATGTTGAATATAAAAGTATCTTCATATTCATGTGAAATAGGTTCATCATGTTTCACAATTTAATCCTATAGGGATTACGCTGAAAGCTTTCTACTGTGAATGAACAAGCAGAACAAATTTACTTCGATCATCATAAAGTATATATTTTTTAACAAGAAATTGCTTTATCTTTCAGTCTAGGGACAAACAAATTGCCATCCAATGAACTTTACTTGTAATTTTCTAAATTCCAGATTATTTTGTCTAGAGAATAGTTATTCAGATTAACTTTGATCCCAAATATCGTTTACAAAATATTTTTCAATCAGTAAGAAAACTACACTTGTTGTTTTTACTGAGGAAAAAGAAATCAACATTGGCAATTCAAGCCATTCTCATTCGCATCCATATACATATGCATAATCCTTATTTTTCATTTACAGATTTGCACAAGTGACTTTTTGCGTCCCATTTGGCTCGATGGCTTCTTCACGATCCGATTCGCTAATGAATCAGATAGGCGCAATATTTCGAACGATGACTTTCGCGTTGCTGGGTTCAACTTCTTCTATGGCATTACATTTCTCTGCTTTTACGCTACACCCTTGCTCAGCGATAGTCAAAATTTATTGATTACGAATGAGTTTGTCAGCACAAATGCACTTTCTCGTAAGTAGAATGCTTTTTCACATATATCTTCACTCGTATTTCAGAGTTTTTCTTTTTCGACAAATGTATCGAATATCGATCTCAAATGTTTTCAATAGTTTGAAGTCGATGCTATTTGACAAATATTAGACGACTTTATGATACTCCAATCGTATAGTACTTAGATGGACTCGAGCTTTATTTGGAAAACCTCTGAGTTGCCCAGATTTGCTTTGTTCTTGAATTTCAGCGACTCGATATTAGATGACATAGGTGGTGATCTTCATCCTATGGACAACATTAAGATCATCGTTATCCTAGGAAAATACAATGACGAATCATTCTGTTGATAAACAATTATCACTCTTGAATGATGTGCCATGTTCATGAAAGTCAACAACACTTTTCAAGACATATTAGTCTCATAAGAGGAATATGAAGATATTTTTTGCAAAACAATATTTCGTCGATCGCTCTAGTGAAGTCGAAAATAGGCTTATACGAAATTCATCTGTCAAATGGCACATATATTGTATTGTATTGTAGACATATGACAGTGATTGACTTCTGTTACATTTATTTATACTCAAAACTTTTTATAAAGTTCAAACGATTGCTTTAGCAAGTTTGTGGAGTCAACTAAATTTTCTTAATGTATTAATTTTCATACAATTAATGTTTTATTCTCTTTTCCTTGAAAAAAAAGTTGAAAACCGTAACAGAACTCGTTCGAAAATCATCAAACTTAGCCTATAGCTACAGAACTCTGTGATACAATTTAACAACTATTCCCAATGATGTGCACTCGTATATGACTATATAAAAGTTCTTATATTCTGCTAGTTTTGTTATGCTAATGATCAACTTTTAAAAAGTCACTCCATTTTCCAAATAAAACCAACACGACTTATGTTGTAATGAAAGACAAAAGAAAAGAAGATTTTCATTAGGATTCTTAGGCGATATTCTGCTGCTTCTATGCAAGAATAAAGACAGTGGACAACATAGTTCTAAATTATGGTGCGAACAATCAAAGAATCGATCTATTAGTATACAGAAAATAGCTTTCTATGGAACAATAATGCCACCCACGGCAAAACGAAGCATTTGGGAGAAAATGACAAACGATGACAAGAAGGAAGGAGATGAAAGAAGTCTAAAATCGAGTGGCCCCATTTCCAAACAGTCTGATTGTATTCTTTCAATTATAGTTCGAAAGAACTGAATCCATTCTTTACTGATATCTTCTACTTGTTATGGTTCATTTTTCTAACTCATTTGAGATATTTCTCTCTGCTTCTATGTTAGATGATAGAAAGTAGTGGGGTCATGGAAACTTGCTAGATATTGCAAATCTTTTGATTTGATTCTAAAGGTTATTTCATCCTCTTGTGTTAAGGAAGCATATTTGAAGCACATATAGAATCCATGATTACCGAATTCCTGGCGTACTTCATGATAAACGATACGATGTATGTGCCAATCCTCCGAAAATTTATTGCTGCGGCTGGGTTTCAGAATGGTATGCGTTTTCAATCATTAGTAGTGAATGGCAAGCCTTTGTTGCGACGATACTTTCCTGCTCCTTCTGCATTTAACGTCTGCGCTTGTAGCGTTGCATTTGATTGTCCAGATCCTTTATGGTCTGGAGGTCAGTTTTTGTGTCAGTATGGTGACAATTGCACAGTGGATACAGTGGTCTGGAGAGTACCTGGCTTAGTCAGGTCATGCAATCCTTTCGAATCGGTTTTGAATTCTGATTTACGCTGCTTCTTCAATCAGACCTGTTTGAATATTCTTCTCTCCATGTTCAATGTTGATATGCCTAAACGACTGCCATTATCTTCAGCTACGCTTAATATCAAACCTTTGAATAGTTCAGCTTTATCATCGTTTTTAATGGAAGATACAGTTGAGACCATTTTCAATCGGCTGATGATTGAAGAGTGGAAAATGAGCTCAAGCTTCGATGGCTACTATAATAGTTGTGCTCCTGCTACCTGTACATACAGAATCGTAAAGCGAATGGACCATGTTTATGTTGTTGCAATTGTCGGTGGACTATTTGGTGGTCTTGCCACTAGTCTTCGTCTTATTGTTCCGGTTATTGCAAAACTTTTCTACTGGATTATCCTTCATCAACGTCGACGTCGAGCAAATATCCGTAATCAACAGCTTGATAGACATGAAGGTAAATAAACATCTCGTATTTAACAGCAAAACTATGTAGTAAGCATGCAGATAAGAAAAGTATTGAACATCTTTGGGCCACTTCTCTGTGACTTTTTTGACAAAAAACGATTTTCATCTAGAGGATAGTGGATCATGCTTGTGGTGATATGAGAAATTATTGACGTTTTCATCTTCTATTTTTGAACAAAAACTTTCAGCGCAATTCTGAGTGAAATACAGTTTGAAGTGTGATGGAGCCGATTCTGTACAGACATGAAGACTCTTATTATGTTTATCATAATTCAATCAAAGCTCAAGAAAACACTCTCCAGAAGTGTCGATGACGTAGGATAATATACCACATTGAGAAAAGAGAAAGAACTTTTGGATTTAGTGGATTTCGAATAGATACGAAATCCTGAAATCCTTCGACAATATCATAGTTTGAGTTCTAAATTTTTAAAGCTCTATATTGACATGTCTATCACGATCTATGACTACGCCAGGAAGTAGAGATTCACTTTTCTCACCATAGACTTCAACACTCTTTAACTATCGTGTTCATAAAACTTAAGTGATTACATCTATTTCAATACAATAATTTTATCAAAACAATTTTCCTTTTCTTGTATAAAATTCAAGACACAAGGAATATATGAATAAATATGCTATTCAGTTCTTGAAAATTTCTCTTTCTATGAACCAAATTTAATAGATTCGAATTTGAGATTATAACCATGCCACGCATACATCTTATTATCCACAGACACATTTTCATAATAGAATGATTGGTTTTGTGTTTTGTCACTTCTTAGATCTATTACATCGACTCAATAAACTAAGAATTGAAACAAAGAAATACTTGGTCAAAATGAATCTGTTCAGAAAAGAAAGCGCCATTAGTCAAATACCAGATCACGAAGAGGTGGCACTTACATCAAGTCGAATCTATGTTGTTTTACTCAGTACAATCATGACAACACTTGCCGTTTTAAATGGTTTCAGTGTAATCAATGTCTCCAAAACGGTACTGTCACCTTCACTTTCTACATTTGAACAACTTCAACAAAAATATCCACTCACACTCTCATGTTATTGCCAACATGCTACTCTATCATCCGGTAGTTTCGTTTCTATCAAGCTCAGATTTCATCAGGTAATTTATGTGGATCGATGATATTCATATTCGTATGAGCATCATTTCTCTATGCATCCGCAGAGAGTAGTTCATCATATGAGAATGAGGTCTCTCTTGGAATATGAAATATTATTTACGGGATCGACCTAAGGCAGCCAAAATGGGACAAGGGAAGGAAGTAGACCGTTGTAGTATTTTTTGGGGGAGAATGAAAAACTGTTTTTATACCGGACGCAGGGGAAGTTTTTGGCGCCACTGGAAAAAACGAAAACTTTTTCATGACGATGAGTTCACACCCACAACGTTCCTCAATCCGATCATCCTGCTTATTTATATGCAAAGACGCAGAAAAATACACTTATAGTTTGCATGATTTTCAAATATAAAGAGCTTTTGATTGTTGGTTGATACCGACATATAACACTACTCACTGAAGATAGAAAGATCTTTTGTAAAACGGCAGCATATTAAACTTAGTTTTTTTTGACTTCTAAGTACTGTTGCATATGATATTATCGGTAATTTACTGATTTATAAGATTTTTCATGTCATGCATTGTTCAGATCTGTTCGAGTGCATTTATCAATACAACATGGACAACGCTTTTATATGGATATGGACCCTCTGCAAATAGCCATCTACAGCTTGATCGACCTCTTCTCAGCAAGCATTTTCAAATTTTGAGATGGATGTGTGAAGAATTAGTAAACGATGCCAATGCACAACTAGACCAATTCTACCGAAGATTGTTCATAACCGCAACTCTACTACCTCGAAGTCTATGGGAAACGATCAGCTATGGCACCATGCACATTCAGCTCATGTCAAAGCCATTTCAACGGTTTCAATATTACCTACTTGAAATGTTTCACTTGAGTTTTGTGCCGACAACCTTCAATACTGATTGGTTGTTGGAATATGGTGACGAGTCGGATGGTTATCTCATTCGAAGTGTACCTCGCGTATTCACTAATAGTACGTGCAATTGTATGATTTCGGGATTATGTCAGGAACCGCTACGAATCGGTCCACCCAATCTCTTTTTACCCGGTCTTGTCGTTGGATGTTTACCTATCGATGGACTCCGCATGTCCACACTTGAATGTTTCTTCTCATCAAGTTGCATCTCTACCATCCTCACTTATCTTGAATACTACACAAAAATGGATGGCTCACCACCTACAGATTTCGTTCCACCGACGGTATTACCCTTGACTATATCTCCATTAGATAGCTCAATACCTTCACGTTTTTCAAAGAACACTTCAATTGGTACACTCTTAGACGAATACTTTCTCGAAGAGTGGACACAGACAAGTTCATATGAAGGATATTTTGCTGCATGTGCACCAACTCATTGTAATTTTGAATATGTTACACGTAATGATCTCTTGTACGTGGCTACATCAATACTTGGTCTCTATGGTGGTCTTACGATTGGCTTACGATTCATTACCTGGAATGCCATATGGCTTTATCGATGGATAAAAAAGCGTATTCGTTCTCATCGAGTTACTGTTCAATCATGATCTTAAAAAAACAGGAAGAATTACATTTATTTAATCAAGCACTATATTGCTTAGCTCTTTTCATTATCAAACTTCATGTAATCACTAAGCTTTTTCGTCTTTGTTTCACATTGATATTCAAATAGCTTGAGCCATATTGTCTTTGTTGCTTTTATGCTGATATCAATTACTTGTTGTCTAAAGCTACATGTTCATCGATATTGTCTTTCAAAAAAAGAAGAAAAATGTTAAAAAATTCATGACATAAATTGATTTATTTAATCATCACATCACTATCATATTATCCATTGAAGCATTGAATAAGTAACTAGAATACAATGTTCCTATCTCATTTGCTATGCTTTTGATCAATATTTTACATATCTTCACTATAATATATCTCTCAAAATTCAGATGAGAAAAATTCGAAAAATGCATACTTGGCAAGGAAAAACAAAGGAGAATAGAAATCCAAAAGTATTAAATATTAAAAGTCTTCATCGAGAAGTATGTGATCTCGCGTGCTACGTTGCTCCATTAATAAATCATTTCTTTGAATCAATAAGTGACTTGACTCAGAAGTGATGCAGAGGGTTCCATATACCTATCTAACTAGGTTAATAGATACTTTGCTTGAATTGATGAATCTATTGCACTATTTGATATGTTTAGCTGAAGGAAGCTGTGCGAATGTATTCCGTTCTCTGTCTCTCATAATTGTAGAACCAGTGGTCGAACGAATATTCTACTCACGGGAGCACCTCAGCAACGGATATCCTCTATTTAAGGCCACACTGTCAAAAATCGATCCCAGGCCAGGAACATTCGAATGGCATGAAATTTTCAGGATATATTGGAGGTGGTGTGAAAAGGCTATGGTAAAATTGTCAGTCCTACATCATGATGTTTGACAGAGATATTCACCAAACAAGGGTCAAAAATAGCTCGACCATATCTCCAAGAATTCTCTGTGGGTCATCATTCTATACATTAAAATTTTTTGTGTGTTCGAAAGCTTGTGTTTAAGACTAGCCCTTCTCGCGGCCCTTTTTTAAAATTCTTACTTTTTAAGCGAAAAAAAGAGATGACAAGTTTAATGACTCAAAAAATCCCTGAAAAATGGTGCTCTTTCTGTGGTGTGGATGTAGAGTAGATGTGAATGGGAGAGGATGGGGTGTGGGTGTGGGTTTGGGTGTGCGTGTGCGTGTGAAGGTTTTTTCTTTCACACCTGCACCCACCCCACACACCCACACCCTCAAGCATCGTACTTGTCAGTGAGGTTTTCTTCCGAGTATTGAACATCTTTCCACCTTTATTTTTAAGTTGAAAAAGTATAAATAAGAATAGGTAAATGTTTTTCATAAGTAATCTTCAGAGAGTTACGAGCAGCGAAACATGGTTCAATTATTGCTGCTTTTCATTCTATTACTTTGTAAAACTGTTGTAATTTAATTTGTATTTTTCGGTCTTGATCACGGGTTAGTTCCTCCTTCAAAAGGCCGAGACTGTCAAACCATTCAATATATTCTTCGGGACACGGTGCCAAATTTTGAGGTCTTCTCAGTTTCTTTTTTTTGAGTTTTGGTATCATACGTAGTTGTTCAGGTGTTAAATCTGAGTCAGGATCAATCAAAATTGTTGTGATAGCCTGGACCACTTTGTCGCAGTCTTCTTCAGTTATAGCTGGCTGACTACCACCACGTTTACTGAGATCGTCGCCATTTCGTTGAAATAGATAGTTTAAATCTTCCTGATTGGAATCAATATCGATGTTTGGTGGACGAGAAAGAACATAAGTAGAGAGTATTAACATAGAAGAAAATGCTATTAGCAAGAGATTCACGTTGTTGCATTTTTGAGACGATATATTCTATCAGAAAAATTATTTTTGATCTTTAATCTCACTCATTATATAAGTGAGATACACACAAATCGAATGATTAATCTTTCTTTTTTTGTTATGCATATCTCGCTCTTTTTTCTTCAACGAACAAAACTTAAGTATATTTACACAACACTTTTGGTTTTAAATAATTGGGCTTTTAATCATGTAGCTAGTGGCCATATTATATTAGATTGTAAAGAAAGAAAGAGAGAGAAAGAGAGAAAATAAAAAAGAGATACAACGAACGGTTGTGCAATACTGTTGCAGGCCAAACAAATTAAAATAAAAAAGACCAAGTACTAGGGAATGACAATGCACAATTTTCAATAGTTACGTGGGAATTTGGTTTTAAAATAATTGATGCGATTAAAAATACTGTCTATGTGTGTGTAGGATTTTTACATCTGTTCTTTGGGTGTGGGTGTGGGTGTGGGTGGGTGTGAGCGGGGTGTGGGTGGAGGGTGCGTGGTGTGGGTGGATGTGGGTGTGAGAGTGTGGGTGTAGATGTGGGTATGGGTGTGAGGGTGGATGTGGGTATGGGTGTGTGCGGGAGTGGGCATGGGTGTGGGTGTGGAATTGCATCTTTTGCTTTCACTTCTTCCTTTTGTGTAAATACCATGACTCTGAAAAGTCTTACTTCAACAAAAATCGATTGAGTTTGCTATTATAACTTTGACTATATCCAATTTTTAATAGTTTACTAATAAGTATTTTGAAGTTCCCTGAAAAACTAATAATTTGTGTTATTACCTATTTAGGGAACAGGCAATTACGTTCTCGAATATGAAATACCGATTTGCTCAAAAACAGGGCTTATTCCAATGCTATGCAACTTATCAGAATCGTATTTCTTTTTATTCATATAAAGTTTGAAACTTGTGCAATTTTCTTCGATGATGAATCATTGTCAACGGGGTGTCAAATTGAGAAGCGAATGCAATAAATATTTAATGTTTCGGAGTTTTAGTTATGATTTGCCATAGATGAGAAAAATCTTTAAAACACTTTTCTAAGAGCGACTACAATGTTAACACATTTTATGAGAGTCGGGATGTCGACTAATGAAGCTGTTTATTTGATGTTCTTTCATTTGTGCTTTTCTTCGTAGTTAGACTTGTGCAAGAATGTTCTTGCACAACTTCAATCATTCAACAATATAAGAGAAAGAACGAAAAGAAATACTTCGACGAGCCGCGGTCGGAGATCAACTCTTGTCTTGAGCCTGAAGCAACACAACTTGGTCTCTTTGTGTCATAGCAATATGATTCAGAGAGGCCACGATCTTCGATTAAATTGACACTCGTCACGTCATTTTTTGATAGTTATATTTTTTTTTCATTGCCAATTTCTATATAATGACTATTTTAGCGATTGTACCATAATTTATGCTGATAAAAGAACATCTAAAATAGATTGTTCAGATGTTTTGAACAGTCTAGGGTGTAACATTAGGTAAATAAATATCGTAATAAAACATGAAATACTCGGAGAATCACTTGTAACAAAATTGGCTGAGTTGATTTTTAAACGATGTAAGCTAGTTTATATTTAATCAAGATGCATTCAAATTTTGTACCAGAAATGTCGATTAAGCAATAAATAAAAATCACTAATTTTTGTCGAAAATAAATGAAAAAATCCAATATTCCTGTCCAAGATTTTATGCAGAAATGCAAAACACATGGAGATTCTTTGATACTTCAGAGCACCGTTTGAGAAATGAATACTTCCTTTTGCTGAAGTCAATGCAAATTCAGAAATCAATTTATCAGTTGTGCCGAAAAACTAAAATAAAAATCTAACGTTGCCTTTATTAATATAAATTATCCGAATTGCACCCAAAATAAGGATGTTGTATTAATTCAAAATGCTGTGTCATGAAGAAAAATTTATGGCTTTAGGATACTGCATACGAATGAACAAATGCCTTATAAAATAACAATCAAACAAAACTGTTTAAAAACTTGCTACTTCTTTTTCTTTAAATATGTTATAATGAATTATCGTCACTCAGATCTATTCCCATAAAAGAATTTCTTTTTTTCTACGTATAGATTCATTTGCAGATGCTTTCCGATTTCACTTTATACAACAGCGTACATTTATTTCGATGTGAATTCTGGTAGTATTGAAACGATGTTCTTGTGAACTTCATCTGTTTTTGCATGCATTTAAAATTATTTCTAGATTAATTGACAATATTTTGACATCGTTCGAAATGAATCGAAATCATCAAATCAAACTTAGACAAGATTGTCATTTTAAACGCAACATGTACATAAGACCGTGATTCTGTACTAGATAGATATCGTCTCTCCCTTGCCCTTATTGCTAATTTCAATTAATACTCTTCGTCATTCACTTTTGATTTATGATCTACAGTAGAAAACGTCATTTTATTCGTGTCTAATTCATATTTTGATGGTTTATTCTCATTGGCATCAAGTATGAAGAATACTGACAATAAAAAGAGTCAATAGTCACGTTTATTCGAAAGAGTCATAGTTGAAAATTGCCGTCCATAATGATGATTATTTTTTTTTCTCTTTTCACGTAAAGAAAGCAATGAAAATATTCATGTTTGTATATAAAGTAACGATAGACTTTTTATTGTTTATGAAGCGTAAAATCTGTGTACAATGATAAACACTCACTATTCATTTATTATGATTAGATAAATTTTTTATAGATTAATGAACATGGTCTAGCTTTTCATAAATACTTTTCGTTCAAATACATTGATAAGGATTTGTGTCCCGTTGAAAATTCATAGAACATTATACTGGTTCTGTGTTTATAAACCATTTTTACGTACAAGAACAAGATAATCCATCTAACAGTGTTTATCATTGTCCGTTTTAAAAACAAAAATAGAACAGTAAACTCTTTGTTCAATATTGTATTTCGTTTTTATACCACAAATGGTTTAGAAATACGGAAAAAGGGTGTGGGTGTGGGGACGTGGATGAAGCTCTTCTCTCTAACTACACCCACACGCCACACCCACACACCTACACCCACACCCACACCCACCTACACCCACACCCCACATCCACACCCTCTTCAGTTAATTCTTCGTCATCGATCTGTTCTTAATCCATATGTTCATTTTCAAGTAATACATCATCTGTTTGAT